GGCTTGTTACTGACGTTGGAGTTGACCTCAGAAAATAATTTAGGGCTCTTCCAAATTAGAGACTCCAAACTGTCACGCCTTTTTGCAGATGTCAGAGGAGGAGGATCTTGTGCCAGTTCCTGAGGGGAGGGGAGAGCAAACCAAAGTCAGTTGCTAGTCACTGTTATGGGGCCTTTCTGGGTCTGGGCCCCTCGTCCTCCAGCCAGACCACTGGGTTGTAAGGGAGACTGTCACAAAGTGTCAGGACATTGGACATGGCCCCCTTGGACGCTGCACATGGAGCAGACAACAGCCAGCTGGCTTGGCACAGCTGCTAGAGAAATGACTCAGGGTCAAAAGAAGAATCCATCTGAAGTTTCTTACCAATCCCCCCAAGACGAGTAGGGAGAGGGAAGACTAAAAGGCCAGAGATTAGGAAAGTGGCTGATGGGAAATGGCATGCCATGTGGGGTGGGAGCCACCAGAAGCAGCTCAGAGCCTGGGGTTTCTCTTGGTTTGCTCTTCTTGGTCAGGCCTCCCCAGAGGACCAGCAGCCCCTGGGCTAGGAGAAGCAGAGTCCCAGGAACTCTGTTGAGACACCCAGGGTCAGGAATCCCTGGCTCTCTTATGTGGGGACTACACTGGTTGGCTCAAGATTACCCTGGAACTTAAGAGTCATGATTCTTACCTCCTGATAATGATGCCTGGATCCACCTGGACAACATCAGCACACTCAGATGGTGGAAAATTAGCTTCAAGCTAAATTAGCTAAATCTAAGCAGTATGAGGCTATATCATTGCATGTATTTTCCATTTTTTCCCTCGTAGTGGGAAGTAGGAAAGTTCTTTGAATGTTGTTTTCCAGTGCAAGGAAAACCAAGCAATCTCGTGATCCAAATTGCCTGTAAAATAGCCAACTGCTCACCGGGGGAGGAAGGCAAAGTGCCCTAATCCCAATAAAGCAGGAAAGGTGTAGTCAGGCTTGACCGCAAACAGAGCGGGTTGCCAGAAGACCTACCTATCTTTTCCCCCTTATCCCCCCCAGCATCCTAAGGATTAAATGAATTGTACCTGGGGAGCAAGTCCATTCCAGGTTCTTTCCTGGCCACATGCCAAATTCCAGGGCTGGTTGCAAAATCCGAGCTTATAACTATTCACACCAGTAAAAATATTAAATGAATTGTACCTGGGGAGCAAGTCCATTCCAGGTTCTTTCCTGGCCACATGCCAAAGTCCAGGGCTGGTTGCAAAATCCGAGCTTATAACTATTCACACCAGTAAAAAGCTGAGACGCTTCACTGACAGAACTCTCAGCCAGGATCTGTTTATGGTCTGGGGTACTCTCACGAGGAGGTCAGGGGACTTTACAACAATCAGAAGTGACTTGAAAAGAAAACAGCTGCTCTTAAGCTCTCTGCAGAGCAAACTCCACATATATGTGCACATGCTACTGAGAATTGTCTTTAGTAATGTGGGTTTTTTTTCCTGATTAAAAAAAGAGAATATATGCTCATTTCAGAATTACTTATAATATCCAAAATCTGGAAACAACCCAAATGTCCAAAAACAATAGAATGGGTAAATATATTATTTATACAATGGAATACTATACAGCAACGAAAATGATGAGTCTCACAAAAATAATGTCAAACAAAAACCAGAAGATGCAAAAAAGGAACACAGAGTATGATTCCAGTTATATAAAGCTCAATGACAGGCAAACTACACTATTTCAGGGCCGGCCCGTGGCTCACTCGGGAGAGTGCGGTGCTGATAACACCAAGGCCCCGGGTTCGGATCCCATATAGGGATGGCCGGTTCGCTCACTGGCTGAGCGTGGTGCTGACACCACCAAGTCAAGGGTTAAGATCCCCTTACCGGTCATCTTTAAAAAAAAAAAAAACTACACTATTTCGTTTAGGGATGCACACATGGATGGTTTTTTTTAAAAAGCAAGAAAATGACCAAGGAGGAAAGAAGGGGGTTCGGGGAAACTTTTGGTAATGTTATATTTCTTACTCTGGATAGATAGTTGCTTTATTATTATTTATTAAACTGTACACCTGTATTTTAGGCACTTTTCAGTATGCATATTTCATAAAACGATGTTTTGAAAAGTTAGATACACAAAGATAATCTTTGCCATCTATGAATCAAATGGAAAATCAAACCTCAAGTACACCAAAAACTATAAAACATCATTTAAAGAAGTTAAAAAAAGACATTCCAGGCTCATGGAGAAGGAGATTTAATATTATTAAGATAGCATTATTCCCCAAATTTATCTACAGATTCAAGGCAATCCCTATCAAATTCCCAGCTGCTTTTTTGAAGAAATGGAAATTTGATCCTCAAATTGATATGGAATTGCAAGGGGCCTCAAATAGCCAAGACAATATTAAAAAAGAAAAATAGTGTTGGGGGACTCACACTTCTCTATTTCAAAACTTATTTCAAAGCTACAGTACCAAAATGGTGTGGTCAATCTGGCAAGAAAGAAAACATACATGCAAGTCTTCATGAGCCTGGATTAGGCAATGGGTTCTTAGATGTGACCCCAAAAGCACAACAAACTAAAGTAAAAAATTGATAAATTGTACTTCCTCAAAAAAACGTTTATTCTTTGAAGTGCACTTTTAAAGAAGTGAAAAGACAAACTACAGAATAGGAGAAAAATATTTGCAAATCATATACCTGATAAGAGTCTAGTATCCAGAATAAGTAAAGAACTCTTACAACTCAACAACAAAAAGACAAACTAATTTAAAAATAAGAGAACTGAATAGACATTTCTCCAAAGGGGATATGCAAATGTCCAAAAAGCACATGAAAAGGTGCTCACTATCATTATTCATTAGGGAAATGCAAATGAAAACCACAATGAGGTACAACTTCACACCCACTAAGATGACTATAATCACCAAGATAGATAAGAAAAAGTGTCCAGAGAATGTTAAAGAAGTTGGAGCCCTCACAAGGTGGTAATGTAAAATGGAACAGCCACTTTGGAAAACACCGGGCTAAGTATAAATTTACCTTATGACCCAGCAATTCCACTCCTGTGTATATAACCAAGAGAACTGAAAACATATGTCCACACAAAAACTTGTATTCAGATTAACAACCCAAATGTCCAACAGCTGAGGAATGGATAAGTAAAACTAGTATATCTATCCAATTCAGCCTTAAAAAGAAATGGAGCACCGACACGTGCCACAGCCTGGGTGAACCTTGAAAACATTAGGCAAGTGAAAGAAGCCAGACACTAAAGGCCACATATGGATAATGCATGATTCCGTTTATACGAAATGTCCGGAATAGGCGAACGCATAGACACAGAAGGTAGATGAGCGGTTACCAGCGCTGGTGGGGAGGGAAAATTGGGAAGTAACAGCTTAAGGGATAAGGCTTTCTTTTTGGGGCGATGCAAATATCGTAGAATTAGATACTGGTAATGGTTGCACAAATTTGTGAATATACAGTACCAAAAGCCACAAAATCGTGCAGTTAAAAGGGCCAATTTTATGGTATGTGAATTATCTCTCAAAGTATATATAAAAAAATAGAAAAAAAGAAAAAACCCTGTAAATTGGGAAGTAATGTTTCATTTTTTAAAAATCACACCTAATAAGCTATCAAACATAGTACTCTCACTGTCAGAAAACTTGCAAACTCCTGCCTCCCCAAGTCACCACTGACCGACCTGTGAACACCTGGGGTATCACGACTTACGCAGAGAGGCTCATATTCTAGAGCTGTTTTTGTCAGCGTGGAGAGAACGCCTCCACCCCCACCTCCCAGACGCCGGCTGGAAGGAGTGAAAGTAATGTTAGCCCTGAAAGTGCCAGTCCTTACCCACGCAGGACGGGCGTCCTAGCCATGTGGGAAGAAGAGCAGGGGCAGCCCTAAGCGGGGCGCGCACGGAGGCACCGGGACGTGGGGGGTCACCTAGGTGGCGGGCGGGGGGCGGAGCGAGGCCGGGGCGGAGCGTGGAAGGCCCGGGGGAGG